AGAAATCGGGCACCGGGAGGGGGGTACCTATTTGTTTTGTTTCGTTTATAGTGTTCTTTTCTATTATGGATTTCTTCCGCCTGTCAAATTTTAGAGAAAAGAAAGGCGTGTATTACAGGTGGGCAGTTCCGGGTTTTTTACGGGAACCGAAGATTTCCAATTATTAAAGGCCAGGAATCATAGGAATCCTTTCCAAACCCTATTACTTTCATTATAGCCAGTGATGTGATTTCTTAGAGTGGCTCTATGATTTCTTCCAGTGGCTTTGACCCCTAGTCAGCATCATGATAATATATACAGCAATTAGCAGTTAGTCCGACCCTGCAATTACCCCCGGCGAGTAGCAATAAGTTAGACCCGTGCAATTACTCCCAGCAAGTAGCAATTAGTCCGACCCCTGCAATTACTTCCGCAGAGTAGCGATACCTATGACTACTTCCGGCGAGCAGCGATTAGTCCGACCCCAGCAATTACTTCCGCCGAGTAGCGATACCTATGACTACTTCCGGCAAGTAACAATTAGTCCGATCCCTGCAATTATTTCCAGCGAGTAACGAGTAGTCCGATCCCTTTGATTACTTGGGGTGGGAGGACGCTACCCCAGACACTACCCCAGCCAATCTCTACAGCGTGAAGTCAGAGACCAACAATGACCTACACCGAGAAATGAGACTCTATAATATAGGCCTAGAGCCTCGTGGGCAGACGTTACAGTTTTAGATTTTGAATTGAAAGAAATGTAAAAACAAAAAACAGATGAATGAGAAAAAGGCGAAAGCAACGAATAAGTTTTGACACTGTATACTAGATCGATATAGTCTTTAACAATGAATTTGCATCATGACTACTCTTTCTTAAGTCTTCAAGATTCAGAATAACCTTGATTTCAGAACATAGTAAAGCACCAACATTTTTTTTCTCAAAAATACATTCTTTGCAGAAAAAAATAAGATAAAAATAGAGTAATTGAGAATCATTAGTTTATGAAATAGGGATCGGTTCTTTTTCTCAGAAGCAAATAATCGCAGGAATCGGTTCTGGAATTGATTCTTGGCCCACCACCAGCGCGTATTATTGCGTTTTCCACTTTGGGATCGGTTGTGTGTGTTCGGAGTTACAAGGAGTTGAAAATAAGGTAAGTTTAAGCCTTTTTATATTTAAAGATTTATTTTTTTTACGTACTTTTCTCTTTTATTTGTTAATTTCTATGCTGTGAGCCCTAAATTAAAAAGGTCATTCTCCATGAATGGGCATGACCTATTATTGATCGCACTGCTGAGGGAGGTCATGGCGGCGATTGCGGAAAGTGAACTTAACCCTCGCTAACATCATGTACTGTTGGCGTTTATTACCACTTAAACAGCATTGAAGAATGTTTTATAGTAGAAGCTATGATTTATTTTAAATTTTGGAATATTTATATATTATGTGTCACTGATGTATAATTTTCATGAATTTGCACCATGTAACAATCAGTTAAGATTCTTGGGTGGGGGGAGGGAAATGTAACAGCCATGTTTTATTTCTGTTACTGTTAGACCATCGATTTCACGCACGTTTTTACTTCTTTTGTGTGCTTATATATTGTCGTTAAATATTTTTTCTTCTCTTATTTTTTTTTGGTGTGTGCTTGTTCTTTAAATATCTCTTTAAATTTTCAGTTACTTTGTGCAGTTTTTTTAAAGATATAGAATCTACATGTTTATTAAAAGATGTTTCTTCGCTTGTCTAATCATGTCCTACACCTTCCTCTGCTAGAGTTTTCTGAAAATCTGAAATTTTCATCCATTGCTCACAAATGAATTTATTTACTTCATTGATGAATTCATTGCTTTGCTTTTTTTTTCTTTCCACAGCCCCTGATCACAACCTGCCACTGTTCCATTGGATTTATTGACAGCTCACCAGAATAAATCCTGACTTTACTTTAAAATCCCAATATGCTTGCGGAGTTGGTCGAATTCAAAGAAAAACTTGTTGGAACAAGTTGCAAAAAATTGAGCGCTTAAGAAGAAAGCATATTTATTGCAGACAAGAAAGAAATCTTGGCATTAATTTAACACAATATCAAGTTGGCAGACAGGGTGAACCAAACAGTTGCCTGGAATAAAGAAAGAATAAATAAGTATCGTGACACAACTGCATGCCTCAAAAAACATATTTCACAACTAATTGTCATTGAAGAAGTTGAACATTTAAATAAACACTATTAAAATATTTAATGAAAAACTTGCTAAACAAACTGAAGTAATAAAATTAGAAGAGACTATTTGTTTAACTTACAGGGCAATCTCATGAGTTGAAGATGTAAAAGAGAAATCAAAGATAAAGACAGAGTAATTGATCTTTTACATGACAAATTAAAACATGAAAGAAACATTCTAACTACAACACGTAAAATGAATTTTAAAAACATTATTATCATTAATAAAATTACCAAGGAACTCAACAGCCTATCAAAGAGTGTTGGCCTACGTATACACGCGGGCAAGTCGAAAGTAGTGAAGCTAGGTAAAGTGTTAAGCCCTGCTGTGACAGTGGAAGACGATCCCCTAGAAGAAATGGACTCCTTTACCTACCTTGGAAGTGTCATCGATGGTAAAGGTGGAACTGAGGCAGATGTAAAAGCAAGAACTGCCAAGGCAAGGTCAGCTGTCAAGCAATTATCAAATGTCTGGAAAGCAAGCAACATCTCACTTCACACCAAGATTCGACTCTTTAATTTCAATGTCAAGTCTATGCTCCTCTACGGCTGCGAAACTTGGAAGACAACAAAGACAGTGCTGAAAAAAATAAAGTCCAGACTTTCATCAACAGATGTATGAGGAGTATCCTAAGAATTAAGTGGCAGGATAGGATTAGAAATGAAGAGCTATGGGAAAGGACAGGACAAAAGGAAATGGAAGAAGAAATAGGACTAAGACAGTGGCGTTGGATGGGACACACCTTCAGAAAGCCCAGCGAAAACATCACAAGACTGTCATTGCAATGGAACCCACAGGGAGCACGAGGCAGGGGTAGGCCACGGGAAACATGGAGGAGATGTATGTGGAAAGGGACATGAGAGAGATGAAGCTAGCTTGGAACGAGCTAGGAAGGATGGCTCAGGATAGAGAGAAATGGAAGGAGCTTGTATGTAGCCTATACCTTGCCAGGGGTAAAAGGCATTGATGATGATTATCATTAAACTTGTTTGCAGCAGCTGTAGACACAAATGTTAACTTTAAAAACTGTTCTACTGATCTTATTTTAGGTGACCTGCTGTTTTGTTAATATATATTTTACTTTTTAATCAGTCTTTTGTAAATTTTACTGATATTTAATTTATGTAGATATTCCAAAAGAAAGCATTAAAAAGACCTTCAAAACGATACTTCAATTATTGTTGTAGCTTAATTTATAAGAAAGTTATGGCAAAATATATTGACCACAGAACGATGCGGTCACGTACGCAACACAGTGTTACATAATTTTACCCAATATTACCTACCGTGATATATTTAAAAATTTCGTCTGACTGTTATTTTGCCCTCAACATCACAAAGTTTCAGAAAATGTTTGGTTTTTGCATGCACGCAGTCAGCGTATTAAAGCAGCTAACATTTCCCTTATTTTTCTTGCTGTTTCGATCACAAAAATTGCCTTTCTTTTCTATGTATATTTTTTCTCCTCGAAAAGACCTTTAAAATGCCATATATTTAAAAAACGGTTCAACTTAGAGCAAACTAAGGTAGCTTAAGTTAAATCCAAGTTTTTGCTGAATTTGAGTTCCACTGTACATATTTTTATAAAAGCTGTATCATGATCTGTAAGCTATGACAAGTATGTTCTCATCATTTGACAATATGTGTCACGACGCGTTGGAATCATGTGCTCGTAAATTTTGGGGTATGTGGAATTATTGGTACCAGCTTGAAGCTAGCTCATTTGCCTTGCTTTGGATTTTAAAAATGCCAATCTACTTTGAATAGAAGTCAAAATATTTGCCATTGAAGGAGGTGGGGGTCGCCTGGTTTCAGAGGTAAAATCAACGAGAAAACCCCAAAGTTTGATGACTTCCAAAGCTTGATAGGCCTTATAGAATCTGAAAATTTGAAATTTTTGCGCCTTTAGTCAGCGTTTTTCCGTGAATCCTCACAGGAATGTGTTTTTAAACGGGAATGAAAGGTGTCGTGTCTTCGATTTCAGTATTTTGACGAGCACCTGATTTCTTCAAGATGCCTCACGTATATGATGACTGACAGTTTAGTATAATGTTGCAAGAAATTTTTCTTTTAGATGTAGGCTTACATGTCATGAATTAAACCTAGTACATGGTATATGTGTGCACCGTGTACCTGTCTTTTTTTTGTGACAGAAGACTGCTTCTTCTTTCCTGTCAAACATCTGTTGTCTTTATTTGTCCTCTTTCTTTTTTGTGTTTGTTACTACTTTTTTGCTCTAAAGCTTTGGCACATATATATACACGACTTAATTGTGCTGCTAGTACCTTAAAACTTTTATTCCCCCCGGGGCAGTGCCACTGACTGAAGTGCCTTTGGGCCATTCCCAAAGGGGGGACATTTCTCGTCCAAGCATAGTAGAATTGTAAATGGGCTGACTCATGTCACGCTCATAACTGTGCCTGATCTACAACAGGGAACTGCTGCTTTTTCTTTCCTGATCCTTACAATTGTCATTTTCCTCTAGTTCTTTTGTATGTTTGTCACTCTCTTGTGACCTGCTATTTTGGGGTGCCTTGATAGTCGAAGCAGACCATGTGCTGTTGAAGCTAGAGAGGTGAGCAGTCTAAGTCTGATTCCCTGTAAAAACTTCTCTGTTGACACCCACCCCTTGGCGCTCATATGACCTTATGCAGTTGCGAGCGCCGTAAAACCCTCTATTTTAAAAAAAACAAAAAAACCCCAAACTTTTACATAAAACAAAAAGGCTGAAAATGTTTTACATGAATAGAAAGTTATCAGATCATGTCTACTCTTCCATTGTTTTTTTAAAAATAGGCTCGCCTCCCCATGGACATGATGAGCATGAAGCGGTACGAGTTACCAACACCACCTGCAGGAAAGATGACAGATGTCGCAGCGTGGCAGGAATGTGTGGACAACTCACAGGCTCAGCTAGAGCACCAGTCTCTGCGTATCCTCAACCTGGAACTCATGTCAGAGTATGGGGCAGCGTCGTGGAGGTCGTACAACTCAGTCCTCACTAACATGATTGACCAGGCACAGAAGCACTTGCAGGTGAGATGTGCAGCTCAAAGGAAGTTGGGAGAGTGAAGAAGTGGCTTTTTTTAACTTGCTTATCAGGCCACTTTAACCCTTTGACTTTGAGCCCTGACCTACTGAGGCTACCATGCCCCTCTGCCTGAGCTCCTCTGAGTGATTCATGTTTTCATTCATATCATCATCAGAATGACATTCCTTATCCCCACATAGGGTAGTCCTTGTCATTGCCAGCATCTGCTTCTGAGAGATCTTCAAAAATGTAGTAAACTCATGCGTGCATGTTTTGTCCCAGGTGGGTTGGTTTGGAGATATGGTCTTGCTCACCAGTGTACCGGTGGCTTGGTGTCCAGGAAGTTTTACACACCACTGGTGTACCTGTGGCAGAGGCTCAAAGTCAAAGGGTTAAGAAAGATGTACAGTTGAACCTGCTCTGATGATCACCCTTCCAAGACAGTCACCCATTTGAAGTTTAAACGATCACTTCCCACTTCCCCCTTACATTGTTTTTAAAAAGAATTATGTATTGTAATATTGTAACGACAGTGGTCAACGAAGATGACCTCCTTTCCCTCCCAAAAAAAATCTTAATCTTGGATGAGTTCCACTGTATTAGCATTGGAGAACATGTCAGTGTCTTGATGCGGTGGTGTTTCTATTGTTAGATATATGATCTTTCTGGTCCAAATTTTACTAATTTTAGCATGCTTCTTAAAAGGAATTATATGTGAAGTTCAATTAAAAGCAAGAGTTAATACTGTACTGAGATGAATTTTAAAAAAACAACCCAGTAGAATCTCGACTTTAGTTGAATGGATTTTAAACACAGGTCAAGGAGTTTGAATACATTATAATAAGTGTGTTGATATGCCACAGTGCGGAAAGCAGGGGGGTGGGGGGTATTTGTTTGATTAATGCTGTTGTGTATAGACGGATGAGCAGATTTTTGCATTGGTAAGGAAATGGGTCGCATATAATATTACTACAGTGATATTTGAAGTTGGAAGTGCTTAACGTTGGATTGAAGGAACCTGACACTCATTGAAATAAGAAAGAATCCTGTTAGTTCTGAAGTCCTCGGACCCAAAAAAATAGCCTGTCTGGCAAGCAGCCCTCTATGTTACGTATCCGTGCATATTTATCTGACAACAGCAGACTTTATCTACTGTTGTCCAACCAACTGGTGATTGACCTATGCATGGATCATAGCATTTATATTGTCTCATGTGTGTATCATACTTTGCCACAATTTTTCAGAGAGGCTGAGTCATTGTATGTCTCCAATCAGGTGCTTTTTATAGATGCTTACATATCCACAATATGTTTTTGCAGTTACCTCTACTCAGCTTTTGCTCAGAAACACAGCATTATCTTGTTGTATCTCCCCCTCATCTTTATTTCATCTGGTGCATGCCTTTCATCTTTATATTTTACGGCTGTCTACCTCTTCTTCTACAAAGTCAGGTTCTCTACAAGAAAAATGCCTTTTCCATAAAGTCATATTATGGCCGGATCATCATCATGATAATATCGGATAACTGCATTTTTTATTTGGCTTTTTTTTTTTAACAAAACGTATACTGCAAAGTATGTTTCTTATGCTGGTTAAAAATTTATATTGAAATAAACAACCGAAAGGAGACTTTTTTACAGTATGAAAATCGGATAACTCAAAGTCTTCTTTTTAATAATTCAGTTTTTTCCCTTCTCCTGAAAAATGTACCTGATGTCCTTCTTCTGATCTTATCTCGACAGCAACAGTTCAATGTTTTAGGATGACTGGGTTTGTTTGTTTGGGTTTTTTTTTATTGGGGGGGGCTGTCTCGATCATTTCAGTTTTTTTGTGTGTGCATGTAGTTAGTAGTCGTGTTATTTTGTATAAAAAGTCTGGAAGACTGAAATCACCAAAGATAACACTTTTCTCTTTTTCTTTGTTTATAAAACTGTATAATTGTCCTCCAACAGTTGCAACTCAAACTCAGATGAGCAGTCGCTGACCAGATTGTCATCTGTCTATAGATACTTAACAATAATATACACTAAGGTGTTTACGCATTTTTACTTTAATTGGTGCTTTTTTTTCTGTATATTTAACTCAGGATTTGCGTAAAAAGATTCAAGAGATCAACTGGCAGCGAAAGACAGAGCAAACACAAGCTGGTGAGAAGCTGAGAGACTTGGAGACCAGCTGGGTTGGATTGGTCAGTAAAAACTATGAAATTGAAAGAGCCTGTGCCGAAATTGAGAAAGAAATTTCTGAGGAAGAACAGAAACAAGCTAGGAGGGGTAGAAAAAGGCAACACGAGAGTGAAGAGTCTTGATTGTTACTGTTTTAATGTGAAAATGGATCAGCATGTCAGAAATATGCAGCAGGTAGGCAGGGAAAGCCACCAGAGAAGCAGAGCGATATTTTTTACTTAGCACTTTTGAAAATGTATCAAGTGAATGTGAGACTGAGACTGCATGAAAGAACAAGTGAAAAGTTTTGTTTTGAATGTGTGAAAGAATATGACATGTTTTATGAAACATTTAGGGTATGTAAAATAGTTTTATTTGGGTGCATTTGTAGCGTTTTTGTCAAAATACTGTATTGAAAAGCAAAACTGATATTGAAAACTTTTAATTCTCTAAGAGCAGTAAAAGAGCAAAGTGGTTGCCAATCATTATCAGCATTCTTTTATAAATTAAATATATTGGCCATATGGCTTCTCCCTTTGTTGTAGACAGAAAGCTTTTCAATCTTTCTGATGGACAGTTTTTATGTGAGATGATGGATTGTATGGATGTTGGATTAAGTATTGATGGAGAGGAAGGATCGCAAGATGAATATCAGGTCCATGCTAGAAAAAAAGTGTCATGCCGATTGTTCTGAATTGTCTGAGCGTATTTGCCCTTATGTTGTGTATTGTGAATGATAAAAACAGCATGAATGTTTGTTGTGTAAGACTGGTTATGTACTTTTTTTTTTAGAAAGCTATGAGTGAATGAGGTTTTGACTGGACCGTGAAACAAATGAAGGAAGTGCTCAGGAAGAAGAGAGTTTCGTAAGTCATCATGGTAAAACCAATTAAGAGTCAAAGATGCAATTCTTAACAACATTATCATCTGTCCAGCCACAGACTTATTTTGTTCCTTAGAGTCTTAAGTTAGAAATGTTCATTGGGTTGCCAAGAATCTCAAGTGTGGTGAGAAATTCAAGAAGGTATTAAGATCAGCCCTCCTTAGCGTGCACATTTTTCATCAACAAATCATATAATAGTCATGGATGGATAGGGATATATCTATCTGTTGTGACAAAGGGAGTGTTTGCAGTTTTTTTCAACTTTAGAGGACTTAACAGCAGTCCTATTTGACCTGTAGAGCGTTTCCTTGTCATATTTTATTCATCTGTGGGTTGTTTTTTTCATTTAGTTGAGAATTTTGTATGTTTCATTTTCATGAATTCATGTCTCATTGTTGTACAGTGCAGCCTCTCTATAATGACATTATGGGGAACAGAAAAAAATGTTGTTGTAGAGAGTTGTTGTCATAGTGAGGCAACCAAAAATTACTAATGATATACATGTATAAAGGAAAAAAATCGGTACCTCTTTATAGTATAGATAGGCTGCACTGTATTTGAAGTGTTTTTCATGTTTACTTCAAGTTTCGTTATCAATTAAATGTTTTAAAATATCTTTTGGGTTAAGACTTTTTTCTATATTGTGGTGTAGAAATAGAACTGCATGTGGCTTTTCGAAATGGGGCTAAAGTTGCTCAACTTACAGTCTAGCACTGATATTGTGAACATGCACAGCATAGCAAACAGGTTTTCAGGTTCCAAATTCTTTTTATTTAAAATGTATACATGAGAGAAATTCATACAAATTAAAAGATTTCCATGTTCTCCCAATTTAGCTATGTTCATGGTAGTCTGTAATTGTACTTTCGCTATAAAAAAGTCAAGTTTAATCTTTGCTGATACTTATACTTATACTAGTGATACAGTAACTTTCGTTGTGTAGTGTTTGGGGCAAGAGGGTAATACATATCTGTGTTGTGTCTTGATGGAAAATAAGGTGACGAGTCTGCAACTTAAGTTTGTCTCTCTGATTTACTCTATATGACGTAATCCTAGCATCTGCGTTTGTTGCCATTTTTTTTGTCCAAAAGTTGCCCAAAAAGTTGCCATTAATTTTCAAGCTTTGAACTCTCTGTGACGACGTATATTATAGCAATATGTTGATAGAGGTAAAAATTTTAAGCTCCCAAGTTTTTTTGTGCTCTGTTTTAAGCGTCCAGAATATCATTTGTAGTCTCCCAGAGTGTAAAAACATGAAAAATATAGGTTTCACATTAGAATTAAATCAAAATTTGAACAGCACGGATAAATAACTACTAAGATTAATAAATTAGGGCGCATGTCTACCTATCCAAAGATTGGCTGTTTTATACTTAAACCTAAACATGTGTAATTCAAGAAAAAGTAGGCCTACAGGACATTACATGTTTACGGAATCACACACAATTGGGGCCTGCCAGTGTCAGTATTCGGTTTTGGTGGAGACACGCTCTAACATAACACTTTTATATTTTTAAGAGGGTAGGAACAGCATTAAATTAAATGACATTATGCTGTATAAACACACAAAAAAGAAAAACAAATCATCAGAACAATTTTTAGAAAAATTAACACACCAACAAATTAAAAGACAACAAAGAGGGAAAAATAAAAGACAGCAATACAAATAGTATGTAATGTAGTGTACTTATATTCTCCGCATGAAAATAGATACACATGAACATCTTAAATCTTATCAAAATACATGTCTAATATGTTATGAAGAAGCTTTGTTGTTTTGTCTTTTTTGAAAGATGCAAAAATCGCGGCCGCGATTTGTGGACCAAAAAATGCCGAAAATCGCGGCCGCGACAAACGCATATTTTTTTGCTAGGTAATCATTGTTTTGACAGGCTGCAAGGCGAATAATTATGTTGGAAGTTTTTGGCATTAGAGGAACGTGTTTCGCATTTTGTCTTCATAGAGCCAAACGGTCAACGAGTTTGGTTCAGCCATTCTGATATAGGTTGGGTCGATGCACAAGGCTGAAGTATTTATTATTTTGTTTTCCCCGGTGGCCACCCTCTTGTAGACCAACACAGTGTTCATGCCCTTTTTTGCTGCTTCTCGGAATTACAATAATAATTATACACATACACGTTATGCTACAGTCTTTAATGATAAATTGATATATAGTTCTTTCAGCGTGCAAGAAATATATTATATAGACAGCCATACTGATTCTGATGGGTGCCTCTGGATCACAATTTTTATGACAAGTTATTCTTTTATTGGGCCTGTAAGCTACCTCTACCATATACAAACACAGACTATTTACCAGTGAGTTGGGGGCACTGTAACGATTGATTTACGCTCTTACTCTTAATCAACATTCTGTACTGTACTCTGTCTGATGCGTGTGTGATAATAATTACACAACCTTCTTTTCTACCTTCTGTACTCCATTATACTAGGCTAGGTGCTGTGCCTTCGAGGTGTACTACTTGTGTCTAGTGATCGACATATGATATATAATGAAAGAGCGTGTGTGTTTGACAGGTGCTCTTGTGTGGTTTGCTTCTTCTTTTCTATCGAACATCTATCATCATCCTTATCTTACCTCTCCTAAGTCTTTTTTGTGTTTGTTACTACTCTTTTATTACTACCCCTAATAGGCTATGGGCTACTGGGAGTGAACCCCCACCCCCCCCCCACCCCCTGCGGATTTTTCACCACCATGATTTTCTTCTGAAAGGGTAGGACTTAAGGACTTCCCCAAAAAAAGTTTGCATCAAAATGTTGGCAATCTACAGAGTTAAGGCCCTTGATTGTCCAGAAATTAAGAAAATACTTGATTTTTATGTTGGGGTTCACTGTGAAGTCAAAAATGTGTACTTTCATATGATGTAAAACTCAAATATTATAAGATGATGTAAGTGTTGTAAAAAAAAATAATTTTGCTAATTAATTACAAGGTTCAAAGAGGAAAAAAGAAAATTCAAAAGCTGATTTCTCAAAATCTATAGAAATGGATTAATTCCATTGCTTCAAATCTTCTATAACCCGATACAATAGTTTTCTGATAGGTACACACTTTAACTCAAAGTTTGAGGCACAAAATGAGAAGGATTTTGTGCAAAATAAATATGGAGTTAAGGAGTTATGACCCTTGCTTTTGCTATATATTGAAAAAATACAAAACTGCCGCACGTCATTTTAAAAACGTTGTCAAAAAGGCGGCATGTGTACTTTTGTCTCAGACATAGTCTAGATCAATCATATGGGCTTGATAAAGGTCTTGAAAAACATTTTGTTAGTTAAAGCTAATTTAAAAGAATACAGAGGTGAAAAATCTGAAGTCTGGTTTTTCTAGCAATGTACAATTTTCTTTATACGAGTATGCTTCAGGGAATGAATTGAATGTTCAAAATTTAGAAAGGTAGAACTGACTGAAATCAGTTCCCTTGACATCAAATAAAGAGAGGTCAAAATCCCAAAAGAAAGAAGAACAGCTTGAAGAAAGGACATGTGTAGTGCATACTGTAACTTCAAAAGCCATGATGAAATATAACCCCTCACTGCACTGAGAGACGCTGAGACACCATTCAAAAATTTTTTAAAACACAATGGTGTCTTGCAGAAACTGACAGTGATAGACTATCCTCTATTTGTGAAAGAATACCGACAGAGTCTGACTCCGCTCAACATGGGTTTCATGATTACTGCTACAACTACAATACGGTCATGAATTTGAGGAGTCTAAGAAAAAGGCATTCATTAGGAGAGTCTGACAAATCAGCGCAAAAAGGGTCTTGCTCCACCAGGAAAAAAGTAAAGCAATCGTTTTTAACACGCCTCTTGCCCATTCAATGCCTTTTCTGTGAAAAAAATACCGAATGGACACATGACAGCAAGGGAACCAAGAAAGTTCATAAACTTGTCAAAAGTGTTACCAGAGCAGCTGAAGCCTCTATAAAAGAAGCTGTAAACAGGAAATCTGACTAAAAACTTCGGGGCCAAATTGAAAATGTTCTCATTGCCCAAGAGGCTTGGTATCATGAACCATGAAGAAAAGCTTACACACGTAGGAGGATCGACGTTCACAAGCTTCTACATCTAAATACTGTTCTTGAGAAGAAAAGGCAGAAGCTGAAGAAAGAAAGAAAGAAAGCTCAAGCTGCCCACTCCAAGGCTTTTCAGCACGTCTGTCAGTATTTGGAAGAACATGACATTGCGCTGGCCCTTGTTCAAGTTGTTGTCAGGATTACTCTTTTGAAAGAGATGTATTGCACTTTCATGCAAACAAATTATCCAGAGTTTTACAAGTACTACAAGACATATAAGTATAAGTTGAAGGACAAACTTGTGAAGCACTTCAAGTCCAGGATCAACTTCTGGCAGAGATATTCTGGGACAATTAGTGATCTCGTGTACTCTGATGAAATTTCAAGTGGGCAGGCTGTTGGAGTTGCCTTTGAAAATGTAACCTCTGAAGAGAGAGTTGTTATAGAAGCGGCAATGGTGATACGACGACCAGTTCTTGATGGATGCAATGAAAGTCAAAAGTTACCTCGGCCTCCAGCAGACACAGATCTGCGCACAGAAACTTTGCAGATACCACAAGTATTAACAACATTTCTTTCCTTTCTTTACTCCAAGAATGGAAAACCACAATCAACAAGATGCCACAGGAGAGTTGTTTCTACAGGTCAGGACATACGCTACAATGTGACGAAAGGGGAGTGGAAAAAATCTAAACAAATTATGAATGGTATATATGTGTCCATCATCTAACAGGAAACACTCAGCAGATCAATATCTAAACCGGCATGGACATTCTGTATCCCACTCATTTCCCTTAGAAGTGGAAACTGCCATGTGTAACAGTATACTAGTATACAGGTTTCTTCAGGTAGTTTGCCCCCCATCAATCATGCGTGACAACAACCTCTTCACTCACTTCTGTTGGGACAATTTTGACTTAAGGACTGGTGGGGCACCTGAGGTCTATTTTGGCTATTACAAGGCCTAGAGTGCCCATATTTGCTGTGGGACATCGTCGGTGTGTTATTGAGGATTTTAAATCAGTAGTTCAAAAAGTACATTGTGAATTGGTTGCTATGGAAACGGCGGCCATATTGGATTTTGTATACCTTTTTCAATCCCATTTTATTCCCTTATTTATTCACCGATTTACTTCTAATGTGGCATGCCAACAGTAAATATGTAGCTCTTAAATTTGGCTTGTTGAATTTTTGATATATGCTTTAGTTTTTATTTTATGACACTTACAATTAGGATGTTGCAAAAAAAGTGAAAAAAATGGAAAATTCATGCTTACTAAGCCCATAAATCAAAAACTACTACATTAATAAAAATTCAACAAGCTAAAATTTAGAACTAGGTGTTGTTGGTATCCTGTGAAAGTTACATTGAAATTGAACCTTTAACGGAGCAGAAAAATGGGATAATGTGTGAAAAAATAGAATTGTGAGAAAACAGCTGATACAGGTAAGAAAAGGCTAGAAAACATGTGCTTTCGAAGAAAAACCTGACAACAAAACACAACTTTAGGGTGTAGCAAGGCTTACATACGTTTCTGGATATTGTTCAGGAAATATCCAGGTACTATAATATGTAATAACCCCAATTTGCAAAATTTGACCCCAAGACACGGTTTCTAGGTGCCCCACCAGCCCTTAAATGAGGAAACTCTATCAGGAGCTGGAACCACACATTCAACTCATGGACTAGTCATACAAGAAATCAAAGAGCAGCCATACATTCCCCAGCCAACACCAGAAGTTGACAGAACAAAGAAACGATCAATCCATATTCCACAAAAACAGCTTGACCCATGTTTCATCAATTCTAAGGTGGAACCCACCTTGATAACAAGTGTCAAACAGAGTATCAAAGATTTCAAAGTGTTTCATTATGAATAATGAAAACAAAAGGCAACTGACACAGTTCTTACTTTATGTATGGCAACACGATTGTTATGCAATGATGTTGCTGAACAGAGAAATATACTTTGCATGTGACCAACACGCCAACAGTGGTTTGTCCTCAGTAGCAGTGATGGAAAGACTACAGACTCAAGACCTGTTCCAGAGTTATCCTTCACCCATGAGGAAGCAGACACACTTCTGATCGTGCGTGCCGTCTTCTCTGATCAGAACATTGCTACTCCAAACACGGACATCATTATTCGGTCCCCAGACACTGATGTCTTTCTACTGATGATTGCATTTGTTCAACATTTCACACACAGTTTGAATTTTGACGAATTTGGTTGGGGAAAAAAGATGTCTACACATTCAGACTCTCTGTTACAAAATGGAAACACGTTTACAGGATTCTATTCTTGGACTCCATGCATTCTTTGGATGTAAGGAGACTAGCGCTTTTGTCCAGAAAGGAAAGATGAAGCCGCTCACCATTCTCCACAAGCACCCAGAGTTTGCTGTTTCATTCAAGGGGCTAGGAACATTTGAAACTGTTTCTTCAGAACTGTTTTCCAATCTGGAAAAGTTTGTTTGTCATCTGTATAGAAAACCAGCTTACTCTAGCACAAACAAGTTTCGTCATGACCTTGTAAGGCGCAAAGTACATGGCAAAAGGTCAAAGCCTACTGTTATGCTTTGATGGATTTGACACCATGCCAGAGAAGCCCTGAAGCTGCACTTCTTAAGCGTAAACTATTAAACTGTAATATATTGGGAGCAAGCACATCTGACTCAACCAAATGAACCTGATCCACAAGATCATGGTTGGAAGAGAGATAATGGTGGAGTGCTCTCAGTGGAGTGGTGCAAAGACTTGGTCCCTCAACAATTGGTTGATATTTTGTCAGGATCAGATACAGAACAAGAGGAAGACAAAGATGAAAACCATCTCCTCTATTATGATACCTGTGATGAAGAAGATGAGATTTCAGATTCTGGAAGTGACGGCAGTGAAGATGAACTGATGACACAGAAAGCATCTAAATAAGACTTTACATACAACACCAACTGACTTACAGTACAGTACAAAATTTGGATAACTAGCACCCAAGCAACTCACTTCTGTAACATATATGCTCTATGCAAGTCATGTTCTAGATGCTATGATATTTTTCTCAATTATATACATTTCTTCGTACGAGACCACTCAATAATACATCATGTACGCATAGCCAATAGCTCTGCATTGCTAAGGCCTGTCTGTAACTCTGCATTGTACTGATTTTCTCTTGAGCTAAATTGTTTGCATGTGTAGCGTTTCCTTTGTTGTGTAATACACAGCTGGGAGTATATTACGCTAACTTTGTGTGGCTGTTTTCAATTTTTAGAGAAAACGGACTTCAAACATTATTTTTTTCTCTATACGCTATGTAAATAACTACCACAAAATGTTCAATATAACTGTTTTTCTTCAACCTACAGCACCAACTTTAGTCTCAATTAAAAGAAAATCAGAGTACCAACTAAAAAAGTGAATTTTTTAAAAAGAGTTAATTTTCTAAATTTTCGACAATTCAGGGACAATAACTCCGCAGATTGCCAAACATTTTGTTGCAAACTTTTTGTGTGTGCATATCCTTGAGTGTGCTCTTTCAGAAAATCATAGTGAGCAAAAATCCCCACGGGGGGGGGGGGGTTCCAGTAGCCCATAGTCTATAATGCTCGCCACTTATATTATCTATCAGTGTTCCAAGTGCCGTAAAACTCTTACTAAAACTAAAGAAAGAATTCAATTTCTGCTCATAGTGACTCATTAGCTCGTGGAATAATCGCAAGCGACAATCCTTTAGTAGTTTAGTGATGATCCCGACCACTTGACTCACATTTAACTTTTGTGTTACCTTCATTTTGAATGCTCTTCATGACAAGCTAATTTTGTTCTAGTTCTATTGTGTCGTAATAGGCCTACGACGTGTCTACGACATCCCAGACTAAATGATAAGATTTTATTTATTTTTTATTTTTTTTGATAGAGGTTCTACGGCGCTCGCAACAGCATAATAAGGTCATATGAACGCCAAGGTGTGGATGTCAACAGAGAAGTCCTTACAGGAACAGACTTACTCTGCTCACCTCTCTAGCTTCAACAGCACAAAGTCTGCTTCGACTATCAAGGCACCCCGGAAATAACGGGTCACAAGAGTGTGACTAACATACCAGAGAAGTAGAGGAAAATGACGATAGTAAGGATTAGGAAAGAAAAAGCAGCCCCTGTTGTAGTTCAGGAACAGTTTTGAGCATGACATTGTTGGATCAGCCCATGTAGGCCCTACAATTCTACTGTGCATTAGAACAAGAAATGTCCCCCCTTTGGGAATGGCCTAAAGACACTTCAGTCAGTGGCACAGCCCCGGGGGGTAAGATCTTAATCAACCAATTTCTCTAAAGCTAAAAAAAAAGAAAAAGCGACATGGTGTGTCATTACATCATGCATGGTAACGCTGCAAAGAAAGAACCCAAGCGTTCATGTTTGTAGTTCCGTTTATTTCTTCGTACCTGACTTACTGGTACTAAGTTCAGGCTTACTAACACGTAGACTACGATAGATGCATGCACTCTTCTTGATGTTTTTACTCTAGAACAGGCCTTAGCAAACGATGGTCGTGTAATATATTGGGAGCAAGCACATCTGACTCAACCAAATGAACCTGATCCACAAGATCATGGTTGGAAGAGAGATAATGGTGGAGTGCTCTCAGTGGA